GGAAAAACTGCCAGAGTTCAGATAAGAACAATGGAAATTTGTGGTTTAGCAGGGTGCTGCTTCCCAAACTCCCCAAGCTATGCTGCGTGGAGTTCCTGCCAGTGTGGAACAGGCTGCAAGGACTGGCAGTTTGCTCTGTGTGATGGAAAGAGCTGTTTCTGTTTGCAGTGGTGACTGATACAGTATCCAGTGTCATTGTCTTCACAGAGGCAGGCTAGGAGAGGAAAGCCAGTGACTGGGCAGTTCCTAGGAAACCAGTCTTACTAAAAAGAAGTGGGGAAAAGAACATAGAACAGTAACAAATTAAGTGGAGACATTCTGGTTGCATGCCACAGTGAAAATAGATTTCATGTGTTTAACCCAGTTTGTTACTAAATAAAAGTGAACAAGCAGAAAAGGCAACACCACCAACTTTAAGGGGGAAAATATCCGAATCCAGAGTTGCTACAATATGTTGTCTAAAATGTTCACTTTTCAACAGATTATAAGACATGCAAAATATAGAGATGTGTGACTCATATTCAGGAAAACAAAAGTCTATAGAAACTTTCCGTTAATGTCTCTAGATAATGGATTTAGCAGAGAAAAACTTCAAAGCAATGAATATAAATATGTTCAAAGACTAAAGGAAACTGTATTTAAAAAATTAAAGTATGACAATAATGAGTGGTAGCAGTGAGTCAACAAATAGAGATTCTCAGTAAAGAACATAAAAATTATTTAAAAGAGACACATAGACATTCTGAAATTGGAGAGTATAATTTTGGAAATGAAAAATTCACTAGAGGACTTCAACGGCAGATAAAAAATAGTAGAGGGAAGAATCAATTGAAGGAAAATGAACAGAGCCTCAGATCATTGTGGGACAGCATCAGATACACCAACATAATATCAGATTCAAAGATATACAAAGCAAAAACTGACAGAATGGGAAGGAGAAACAGACATTTCAACCATTAGAGTTGGAGATTTTTAGCACTCTACTCTTAGTAATTGATAGAATAGCCAGATAGAAAATTAGCAAGCATATAGAAAACTTGACCAACACCATTAACCAACTTGACCTAGCCAATGTATGTAGCACATTCTACATACTGACTGGAGCACACGTTCATTTCAAGCACACATGGAACATTCTCCAGGATAGACCATATGGTTGGCTATAAAACAAGTCTGAATATATTTTAAAAGATTGAAATTGTACAAAGTATATTCTTCAACCACAACTAAAGAAGAAAATCTGGGAAATTCCCAAGTATTTGAAATTAAGTAACACATGTCTAAAATAACACATGGGTCCAATAAAAAATCGAAAGGAAAATGTGAAAACATTTTGAACCAAATGAAAATGAAAACACATCAGAATTTTTGGGATGCTAGGAAAGCAGTACTGAGATGAAAATTAATAGCTTTAAATATCTAGGTTAATAAACAAAGCTCTAGAATCAATAAACTAAGTTTTGCCTTCAAAAACTATAAAAAGAGGAACAAACAAACTCCAAACCAGTAGAACAAAGGAGTTATAATGATTAGAGGAGAAATAAGTGAGACAGAAAAGTTATAAAGTCAATGAAACCCAAAAGTTGGTTCCTTGGAACTATCAATAAAATTGATGAACCTTTAGATAGAATGACCGACAATAAAAAAAGAAGACAGTTTACCAAAATCACAACTAAAAAAGGACATCACTACTAACTCTACAGAAACTTAAAGGATTATAAAGGAACATTGTGAACAACTTTATGGTAACTATGTCTGGGGCCCCCATGACCATCCACAGGTTCAGTGATTCACCAGGAGGACTCAACACATAGTCATACTCACAGTGAGTCACTCTTATGGTAATATAATCCTCCCCAAATCCGTTTTCCCAGATGTCACCCAAGGGCCAACATTGTAAGCAGGCCCTTTGAAGGATAGTAGTTCAAACCTGCTATGTTTACTTTTTTCTGTACACTGACAAATTAGACACCTTAGATGAAATGAACAAAAATATATCCTAAAACATACAGGTTGTCAAAACTGACTCAATAAAAAGCAAATCTGAGTAGACCTATAATAAGTAAGAAATTGAATTGGGGATTAAATATCTTCCTATGAAATTTACTGGTGCAGTCTATCAAATATTTAAAGAAAAAATAATTCTGATCCTTCACAAACTTTCAGAAAATCAAGAACATTTCCGAACTTATTCAGTGGAGCCAGTTTTTACCTTCATATCAAAGCCAAACAAAGGTATCCATGAAAACTATATACCAACAGCCCTTATGAATGTAGGCATAAAAAATTTTTTTAAATGTATAGCAAATAAAATCTAGTAACATATACAATGGATTAGATTCATTACTCCAGGAATGGGATATATGGGGTTTTTTACATCTGAAAATCAGTAAAATGAATGAAAAAGGCAACTAACCATTTTCAGTAGGTGAAGAAAAAGCATTTGACAAAATCTCAGTATCTGTCATGATTTAAAAAAAAAAAAAAAAAAAAAGCTTTCAACACATTAGGAAACATCCTCAGCCTGATAAATATCATCTGTGAAAAATCTACAGTTAACATCATATTTGATGATGAAAGACTAACTGCTTTCTCCCTAAGATCAGTAACAAGCCAAGGATGTCCGCTCTTACTACTTCTATTCAACGTTGTGCTTACTCAACATTTTTCTTGTGATTTTAGCCATTGTAAAAAGGGAAGAAAAGAAATAAAACGTGTCCGGTTTGGAAAGGCAGAAGTAAAACTCATTATTCACAGATTGTGTATGTAGAAAATCAGATAGAATTTATTAAAAAGCTACTAGATCTAATACACAGGTCTAGAAAGGATGTAGAATACTAAGCTGTTATATAAAATCCAGTTGTATTTATTTATTTATTTTGGGACAGAGTCTTGCTCTGTTGCCCAGGCTAGAGTGCAGTGGCATTATCTCAGCTCACTGCAACCTCTGCCTCCTGGATTCAAGTGATTCTCCTGTCTCAGCCTCCCAAGTAACTGGGATTATAGGCGCGTACCACCATGCCTGACCAATTTTTGTATTTTTAGTAGAGATGGGGTTTCACCATGTTGGCCAGGCTGGTCTCGAACTCCTGACCTCAAGTGACCTTCCTGCCTCAGCCTCCCAAAGTGCTGGGATTACAGGTGTGAGCCACTGAGCCCAGCCAAAAAAGACAGTTGTATTTCTGTATGCTAGCCATGAATGGCCCAAAAATATTCCATGAAATTAAGAAGAGTTCATTCTCAATAGTCTAAGAACAAAAACTTGTTAAAAAGAAATGCAGGACTTGCACATTGAACCTACAAACATTATTGAGAGAAATCCAAGAAAATCTCAGCCAGGTGTGGTAGCACACACCTGTAGTCTAACACTTTGGGAGGCCAAGCTCAGAGGATCACTTGAGCCCCTTTGTTTCCCAGGCTGGTTTAAAACCAGCCTGGGAAACATAGGGGGACCCTGTCTCTACAAAAAAATAAAAAATAAAAAAAGTAGCTGGGTGTAGTGGTATGCATCTGTGGTCCTAGCTACTCAGGAGGCTGAGGTGGGAGGATCATTTGAACCCAAGAGACAGAGGTTATAGTGAGCTCAGGTGGTGCCACTGCACTCTCTCACCTGGGCAACAGAGTGAGACCCTATCTCAAAAAAAAGAAAAAAGGAAAGAAAGAAAATCTGGGTAAAGGGATAGTCCTTTCATATCCTTTGATTCCGGTGTTTAATATTGTCAAGGTGGCAGTTATCTTAAAATTGATATACAAATTCCTTGTGGTATGTACCTATGCAAATCACAGCACATGTTTTGTAGAAATTAATAAGCTGATCCTAAAATTGTATGGAAATGCAAAGTACCTAGAATAGCTAAACTGTTTTCTTTTTTTTTTTTTTTTCTTTTTTTGAGACGGAGTTTTGCTCTTGTTACCCAGGCTGGAGTGCAATGGCGCGATCTCGGCTCACCGCAACCTCCGGCTCCTGGATTCAAGCAATTCTCCTGCCTCAGCCTCCCGAGTAGCTGAGAGTACAGGCATGCGCCACCATGCCCAGCTAATTTTTGTGTTTTTAGTAGAGACGGGGTTTCACCATGTTGACCAGGATGATCTCGATCTCTTGACCTCATGATCCACCCGCCTCAGCCTCCTAAAGTGCTGGGATTATAGGCGTAAGCCACCATGCCCGGCCTAACTGTTTTCAAAAAAGAATAGCATTAGAGGATTTAACACTACTCCCTTTCACAACTTAAGTAATCAAGGCATTGTGGCATTGGTAGAAGGATAGGCGTATAGATCAATGGATCCAAATTGAGAATCTAGAAATAAATATTGTTATGGTCAGTTGATTTTCAACAAAGGTGCCATTATCATTCAATGGGGGAAGGACAGTCTTTCAACAGCTAGTGCTGAAACAATTGTTATCTACATGCAGATTTTAAAAAAGGAGCCAGGACTGGTGGCTCATGCTTGTAATTATAGCACTTTGGAAGGCAAAGGTGGGAGGATCATTTGAGCCCAGGAGATTGGGCTGCAGTGAGCTACGATTGCGCTACTGCACTCTAATGTGGGCAACAGAGCAAGACCATTTCTATGAATGAATGAATGAATGAAGAAGAGAGACCTTATACTATATAAAAATGACTTCACAGTGAATGTTAGACAAAATGTAAGAAATAAAATGGTAAACTTTTAGAAGACAGTCTGTGATTCTGAACAAGAAGTTCTTGGCCAGGCACCGTGGCTCACACTTGACATCCCAGCACTTTGAGAGTTGGAGGCGGGTGAATCCCGAGGTCAGGAGATGGAGACCATGCTGGCCAACATGGTGAAACCCCTTGTCTACTAAAAATACAAAAATTAGCTAGATGCGGTAGCACATGCCTGTAATCCCAGCTACTTGGGAGACTGAGGCAGGAGAATTGCTTGAACCAGAGAGTCAGAGGTTAACAGTGAGCCGAGATTGTGCCACTGCACTCCAGCCTGGCAACAGAGTGAGACTCTATCTGGAAAAAAAAATGTTCTTGCCTATGACTCCAAACACACTGTTTATTAAAAAAAAAAAAAAATTAGATTTTATCAAAATTAAAACCTTTGTAATTCAAAAGAAACAAACCATTAACACAATGAAAAGATACAAACAAAATCTTTTTGGATCATATATGTGATGTAGGACTTGCATCCAGAATATTTAAAGAGCTCTTATAAATTAATAAGATAATCTGGTTTTACAGTGGCCAAAGGATTTTGCCATTAGACATTTTATTGATGATTAGAAAAATGCAATCAAAACAACAATGCAACCAAAACAATACTATTTCACATCCTCTAGAATGATTATAATTAAAAAGTCATGTAGTACCAACTTTTATTGAGGATGTGGATAAACTAGAATCCTTATGTATTGCCAGTAAAAATGTGAAATGGATACAACCAGTTTGGAAAATAGTTTGACAGTTTCTTTAAAAGTTAAATAACAGTGCCATATGACCTGGTAGTCCCACTCCCAGAAATCTAAGAGAAATGAAAACAATGAAATATCCACACAAAAACTTGTACACAAATGCTTATAGCAGCATTGTTTAGTATAACCAAAAAAGTAGAGACAACCCAGTTGTTCATCAATTGGTGAATAAATAAACAAGATATACGTCCATATGATGGAATATAGTTTAGCAATTACAGTTGGCCCTTGAACAATGAGAAAGTTAGGTTCACTGACCCCCATGCAGTCAAAAAGTTACACATAACTTTTGCCTTCCCTACAATTTTTTTTTTTTTTTAGAAGTAAAATATCTTTATTTTCTTACATACACACTATATTCAAGTAAACCACCCACCCTGAAAACAGCAGGTTCTGGCTTTTCCATTAACCTCCAGAAGAATATAAATTGGAGTCTCTGATAATAGTTCCTTCCCCAGAGTGGGGAGTATGCGTTGGTGTGTGTGTGTGTGTGTGTGTGTGTGCGAAAAACCTTCTGATTCCACGGGATCCGGCCAGCCCCTCTGGAGCCACACAGCCCTCCTTACCTTACACCCTGGCTCCAGCTTCAGGTGTCTTCCTTGATCCAGGGAGAGGCCTCAGCCTGGGGCAGGTGTGATGTAAACCAGTCACTCAAATCAAGCTCCATCCCATTCTTCTGCAAAGAATTGAGGAAGTCTTGCCACTCTGCTGGGTAAAAACGTTTACAGACATTGATCTTATTCTGAATCTGTTTTGGGGTATCTTGATAGTAATTCTTCTCATCGGGGGCCATGGCCTTATAGTCCTCCCCATGGTTCTCCACCATGTAGCATATGTAGTCAATGAGGTCCCGAGACAGAGTATTTCCTTCCTTTTCTGGAAGGCTGGCTTCCGCTTCCAGGTCATTCAGCACATAGGGCTTCCGCACAAGCTCTTTCAGCCTCTCCTCTGTGTCCACCTGCATGGCCTTCACCTTTCTCTTACAGAGGGGCACCGCCTTGTTGGGGTCCACAGCCAACCCCATCTTGGCCAGGTTCTGCCGCACCGATTTAGCGTGGTCCCAGGCATGTCGGATGTGGGAGCACTCGATCCGCGGCGCTGCCTTCCGTCCAGCATTCCAGTTCAGACGCTTTTGGTTGACATTGTAACCAAACTTCTGCCTCCAGGTCTTGCCCTTGGCCTTGGGCATTGCGCTGACCACCCCACCAGCAGCTCACACGCGGTGCCTCTCTTAGACCTCGTGTGCCTCCCCTCAAATTTAACTTTTTTTTTTTTTTTGAGACAGAGTCTTGCTCTGTCACCTAGGCTAGAGTGCAGTGGTGTGATCTCGGCTCACTGCAACCTTTGCCTCTTGGGTTCAAGCCATCTCCTGCCTCAGCCTCCCAGGTAGCTGGGATTACAGGCGCCCACCACTGCGCCTGGCTATTTTTTTTTTTTTCTCCCGGCTTTTTTTTTTTTTCCTTTTTTAGAGGTGGAGGCTCACTCTGTTGCCCAGGATTGAGGTCAGTGGCGTAATCTCAGCTCACTACAACCTCTGCCTCCCAGGTTCAAGCAATTCTACTGCCTCAGCTTCCCCAGTAGCTGGAATTACAGGCATGTGCCACCACACCCAGCTAATTTTTTTTTTTATTTGAGACGGAGTTATCGCTCTTGTTACCCAGGCTGGAGTGCGATGGCGCGATCTCGGCTCACCGCAACCTCTGCCTCCTGGGTTCAGGCAGTTCTCCTGCCTCAGCCTCCTGAGTAGCTGGGATTACAGGCACGCACCACCATGCCCAGCTAATTTTTTGTAGTTTTAGTAGAGATGGGGTTTCCCCATGTTGGCCAGGCTGGTCTCAAACCCCTGACCTTGTAATCTGCTCACCTCATCCTCCCAAAGTGTTAGGATTACAGGCGTGAGCCACTGCGCCCAACCCCAAATTCAACTACTAATATCCCACTGTTGACCAAATGCCTCACTGATAACATAGTTGATTAACACATATTTTGTATGTTGTATATGTTATGTGCTATTATTTAAGATAATGTTAAGAAAATCATATGGAAGAGAAAATATATTTACTATTTATTATGTGGAAGTTGGTCAAATCACTGTAATGGTTTTCATCCTTATCTTCTTCCCATTGAGTAGGCTTAGCGGTGAGGAGGAAGAGTACGGTAGGTCTTGCTGTCTCAGGGATGGCCAAGGAGGAAGAAAATTTGCCGTTAAGTGGATCTGCACAGTTCACCCTGGTGTTGTTCTCAGCAGTAAATGGAATTAACTCCTAACACATGGATAAACCTCAAAAGCATTATGCTAAATGAAGCCAGACGCAAAGGCTACTATTATATACTTCCATTTATATGAAATGTCTAAGAAAGACAAACATACAGAGAAGAAAAGCACATTAGTGGCTGTGTAGGGTGGAGCTGGGCATGAAGATTAATTGCAGTGAGCATAAGGGAGCTGATGTGTTGGCAAGCATCAGTAATCCCAGCTACATTGGAGACTGAGGTGGGAGGCTCCCTTGACCCCAGGAGTTCAATTCTAGCCTGGGCAACACAGCAAACCCCCCATCTTTTAAAAAACAAAAAATAAAACACCAAAAAGGGAACATGCACTTTTGAAAAGGGCATGAGTAAATTTTCTGGGGGTGATGGAAATGTAAAACTGGATATAATGATGGTTGCACATCTCTATAATTTTACTCAAATCACTGAATTGTACACTTACAAAGATGAGTCTTATGGCATGTAAATTACACGTCATTAAAGCTGTTTTTTAAAAATATAATGCAAACTAAAGTTCAAAAGCAACACAAATGTAAGATTCTTAAATAGGTTTAAGTTGTACGCCCTCGAGTATTCTTACTTAGAAAGACAAAGCAAGTATTCATGAGGTGATCGTTTGTTACTTTTATTCATATTTTAAGTATTCAAGATAGAAATTAATCTTGAATACCATATAAAGAAAGAATGATACTAAAAAGTGGACAGCAGCTGGGCATGTTGGCTCATTCCTGTAATCCCAGCACTTTGGGAGACTGAGGCGGGCAGATCACCTGAGGTCAGGACTTCAAGACCAGCCTGGCCAACATGGTGAAATCTTGTCTCTACTAAAAATAGAAAAAATTAGCTGGGTGTGGTGGTGTAGGCCTGTAATCCCAGCTACTCGGGAGACTGAGGCAGGAAATTCCTTGAACCCAGGAGGCAGAGGTTGCAGTGAGTTGAAATCATGCCACTGCACTCCAGCCTGGCAACAAAGCGAGACCTTGTCTTGAAAAAAAAAAGAAAAAGAAATAAAATTGGATAGTGGCCAGGCGTGGTGGCTCACACCTGTAATCTCAGCACTTTGGGAGACCTAAGCAGGGTATTGCTTGAGTCCAGGAGTTCTAGACCAGCCTGTTCTAGACATAACAAAACCCTATCTGTAATAAAAATACAAAAATTAGCCACACATGGTAGCGCTCACCTGTAGTCCCAGCTACTTTGGAAGATGAGGTGGGAGGATTGCTTGAGAGCCTGGGAAGTGGAGGCTGCAGTGAGCTGAGACCACACCAACGCAAACCAGTCTGGGCAACAAAGCCAAACCCTTTCTCAAAAAAAAAAAAAAAAGGTGGAGGGGACAAGAGGCTAGGTATGGTTTTCTTATACCTGTAATTATAACACTTTAGGAGGTCAGGGTGGGAGGATCACTTGAGGCTAGGCGTTCAAGACCTTGGGCAACATAGTGAAACCCCATCTCTATTAAATGAAAAAAGTTGACAAGAAAAACATAAAAGTAAAGACATTTGTTTTGCTTTACGATTACTAGAAACATGCTGAGTATAAAATTGAAAGATTAATTACAAAGACCTGCCCTAAACATATACATTATATATTTTACAGTTAGAAATATAAGCCAAACTACTGTAGGTTAGTAAGTTTTATTTAATCCAAAAAGTTACACGATTATTTAAATGGCAGACATGGATATGTTGCTCACAAAAGCAATGGAAGCAAACCCATTTGTTAAAAAAAATTTCTGCAACATAAATTTGCTTTTATTTATTTATTTTTTTGAGATAAAGTCTTATTCTGTCGCTCAAGCTGGAGTGCAGTGATGAAGTCTCAGCTCACCACAACCTCTGTCTCCCAGGTTCAAGCTATTCTTCTGCCTCAGTCTCCCAAGTAGCTGGGACTACAGGCATGCGCCAGCACACCTGGCTAATTTTTGTATTTTTAGTAGAGATGGTTTTCACCATGTTGGCCAGGCTGGTCTTGAACTCCTGACCTCAGGTAATCCACCCGCCTCGGCCTCCCAAAATGTTGAGATTACAGGCGTGAGCCACCTCACCTGGCCATTTTTATTTTTAAGATTAGTGAAAATGCCGTTTTGTTTGGGAATTTGTGAATTATCTGCAAACTAACTCATTTTAGTGTCTGAAAGGGTTCTTAGCTCTTGGTTAGCGCTTTTGTCCTATTTCTTTGAGCCCTTCCTGTTTCCCCTTGGAACTTCTAGGCCCGTTGTCTCCTGTTTTCCACACAGAATAAATTCTTGGTTTCATTCTGTTCTCAGTGGAGATTCTGCTTGTTAGATATTCATCACCTTAGAAAAACATCGTTGAAATACTTCATCTAATTTATAGGTCACTGTTTCCATAGCTGTCTCAGTTTCTTCTGGTTTGTTCATCATATTTAAAAATTTATCACAGATTTTAATTTTTTATGACCTTCTCAATCATTTTTAGTTATAGAAGAAAAAATAAGTTTTAGTTTGATGATATAGTACTTCTAAAGTAGAGAAAAGAATTTGGCACAAATGTCAAGCAGTCACAAGATTAGGATTTGAATCTTAGACCAAGTTGATTATCAACCTTGTGAGTTTGGGTAACTAAGTCCTTAAACTAGCATCCTCATCTTCCTAAAAGAGGGTGATTACAAAATTTATTGAGATAACAAATTTGTTTAATGTATAACAGTTGTACAATTTTTCTTGTGCTTGGAATAAGCAGTACCTTTTATACAATTATGAAATCAATTCTTTCATTTTGAGATTGGCGCTTTTTTTTAATTGCATTTTAGGTTTTGGGGTACATGTGAAGAACATGCAAGATTGTTGCATAGGTACACACGTGGCAGTGTGATTTGCTGCCTTCCTCCCCCCCGCCTATATCCG